AGGTTCTGCATACCAAAATCGAAAAAGAGTTTCTAACTTTTTATGATCTTATTCATTTAGATAATGTATATTGAGTGGCAAACAATAAAATTTAGATAATAAATATTGGATGTGACAAACTCTTGATGTTAGAAATATGGCATTGAACAAAACAGAAAATAATTTCTGTCCTCGTGGGGTTTATGCTCTAGTTGGAGGAAATAGACATTACATAAAGTAACAAAATTATATAGCATTTTAGAAACTGGAAGCATAGTGAAGAAAAAGTTAAGTGAAAGGGAGGTAAGATGTGGAGCAGAGGGTTTGTGATTGTATTTTAAATAGGGTAGTTATGGTAGCCCTTACAGAGAAGATGAAATCTGTGCTCATATAAAAATTAAGTCAAAATGGACCAATAACCTAAACATCAGAGCTAAAACTGTAAAACTCTTAGAAGAAAACTGAGTGGGAAATCTTTATGACCTCGAATGTGACGATGGATTCTTAGATTTGACACCAAAAGCAATGAATAACAAAAGAAAACAATGAATTAGACTTCATTAAAAACTTTTAGGCATTAAAGGACATTATCAAGAATGTGAAATGACAATTTAAAGAATGGGAGAAAATATTTCCAAATCACCTATCTGTTGGGAATTTAATATCCTGAACTCTTACAATTCAACAACAAAAAGACAACCCAATTAAAAAAAAATGACCAGAGGGGCATCCCTGGTGGCCCAGTGGTTAAGAATCCACCTGCCAATGCAGGGGACACGGGTTCGAGCCCTGATCCGGGAAGATCCCACATGCCATGGAGCATCTAAGCCCACGAACCACACAACTGAGCCAATGTGCCACAACTAATGAAGCCCGTGCGCCTAGAGCCTGTGCTCCACAACAAGAGAGGCCCCCGCAGTGAGAAGCCCGCGTACCACAACGAAGAGTAGCTCCCACTTGCCACAGCTAGAGGAAGCCCACGTGCAGCAACAAAGACCCAATGCAGCCAAAAAAAAAGAATAAATAAATTTATAAAAACAAACAAACAAAAAAGCACCTTGTTAAAATGACCAAAGGACCTGAATAGACATTTCTCCAAAGAAAATACACAGATGGCCAAAAGGCACATGAAAAGATGTTCATCACTGATCATTAAGGAAATGCACATCAAAACCACAGTGAGATACTTCTTCATGCCCACCAGAACAGCTTTAAATATAATAATACAAAATAACAAACATTGGCAAAGATGTAGAGAAATAGGAACCCCTGTACATTCCTGGTGGAAAAATAAAAGGGTGCATCCACTGTGAAAAACAGTTCCTCAAAAAGTTAAACAGAATTACCATATGACCCAGCAATTTCACTCCCAGGTATATACCCAAGAGAAATGAAAAAGTATGTCCCACACAGAAACTTGTACACCAATGTGTATAGTAGCATTGTTCGTACTAGCCAAAAGGTGGAAACAGCCGTAATGTCTATCAACAGATGAATGCATAAACCAACTGTGGTATATATCCAATGAAATATTATTCAGTCAAAAAAGGAACAGAGTATTGATATACAGTACAACTTTGGATGAACTTCAAAACTACTATGCAAAGTAAAAGAAGTCAGACACAAAAGGTCACATATTGTATTACTGTAATTATTGTATGATTTACTTTATATCCAGAATAGGCAAATCCATAGAGACAGAAAGCAGACCAGAGGTTACCAGAGGATGGGGTAGGGAGAGTTGGGAGTCATTACTTAATGGGTATGGGGTGTTTTTAATGAAATTATGAAAGAGCTCTGAAATAGAACAGGTAAGTACACAACATTGTGAACACACTAGTGCCACTAAATTGGAATGGTTAATTGTATGTTACGCAAATTTCACCTCAAGTAAAAAAACAAAAAAATTTTTCATCAGATTTACAGGATCACATATTGTGTTTTATATTCTACTTTAAGTTCTGTATTCATTCTAGCCTTTAATCTATTTGTAACATTTTAATCTTTTTTTAAAACACACCTTTATTGAGATACCATTCACATACAATAGAATTCACCCATTTTATGTGTACATTCTGATGAGTTTTGGTAAATGTACATATAATCCAGCAACTAAAACCACAATCAAATTTTAGACAACATTTCACACCCCCAAAAGTTCCTTCAAGTCTTTTTTACAGTCAATTCCCAAACCCAGGTTTTCTGTCATTAAAATTCTGCCTTTTCTAGCCGTATAAACTTCTAGAAAAGGCAGAATTATAATGACAGACATTTCATATGAATGGAATTATGCAGTATTTGATCTTAAATGCCTGGTTTCTTTCACTTGGTAAGTATTTGAGGTTAATTTTTGTTGTTTTATGTATCAGTAAATTATTTGTTCCTTTAAATTTTTCAATAATTTACCACATTAAGTTTATCCATTTCCAAGGTGAGGTCACTAGATGATCTTTATTTTTCAACTAGTATAAATAAAGCTGCTATGAATATTTACTTGTAAGACTCTTGTATGGATATAAGTTTCCATCTCTCTTCAGTAGATACTGAGAAGCAGAATTGCTTATTTTTATGTTTAACTTCTTACAAAACTGCTGAATTTTTCCAAAGTGGCTGACCCATTTTTCATTCTCACCAGTCATGTATGAGGCTTCCAGTTGCTCCACATTCTTAGTCAACACTTACTATTGTGAACCTTTTTAATCACAGTCATTCTATAGAGTGTATAGTGGTTCTTTTTTGTGGTTTTGAGTTTCCCTAATGACTAATGATGCTGAGCATCTTTTCATGTACTTATTACTCTTTGTATATCTTCTTTTGTGAAGTGTCTATTTGAATCTTTTGTCCATTTTTAATGAGTTGTCTTCTAATTATTGAATTTTAAGAGTTCTTTAAATATCCTAGATACAAGTCCTTTGTAGGTATATGTTTTGCAAATATTTTCTCCCAATTTGTAGCTTGCCATTTGATTTAATTAACATTATCTTTTGAGGAACAGAGTTTTTAATCCTGATGATGTCCAGTTTATCATCATTTTCTTTCATAATTTGCACTTTATGTATCCTAAGAAATCTTTGCTTAACACAAGTTCACAAAGATTTTCTATTTCCTTTTAGAATTTTTGGTGTTATTTAACTCTTTTGTTTAGGACTATGATCCACTTAGAAATACTTTCTAAGGGTATAGTATGAGTTAAGGATTAATGTTCTCATTTTTCCCTTACAGATAATTCGTTATTTCAGTATCTTATATTTCCCCATTGAATTACATTGGTAACTTTGTTAAAAATCAGTTAAGCTTGTAAATGTGAGTTTATCTTTGGAATGTGAATTCTATTCCATTTTCTACTGACTATTTTTTCCTGACTTTGGGTCACCTATTTCTTTACATGTCCAGTAATCTAATTAAAAACCCGGCATTGTGTGTCATACACTATAGTGACTCTCTATTCTTTTTTTTTTTTTTTTTCTTTTGCGGTACGCGGGCCTCTCAATGCTGTGGCCTCTCCCGTTGCGGAGCACAGGCTCCGGACGTACAGGCTCAGCGGCCACGGCTCACGGGCCCAGCCGCTCCGTGGCATGTGGGATCTTCCCGGACCGGGGCACGAACCCGCATCCCCTGCATCCGCAGGCGGACTCTCAACCACTGCGCCACCAGGGAAGCCCTCTCTATTCTATTTTGGTCTTCTGAAATTTGATGGTTTCCTGTTTTAATATATGATAAACTTGCCTGAATTCAAACTGAAAAATCTCTTTTTATGTAGAGAGCTGAAATTTTTGCTCAGTGGGGTTTTATTTGTTTCTTTCTTTCTTTTGCCTGGATCTCTGGGGAATCTCTCTTGTTCTTGCGTAGCTTTGTGATCAGCCAATGATTTCAACAGAGGTTATATACAGACAACTAAAGCCAGTGAAACTTCCACCCTCTGCCGCCCAACCTGCATTTGTGTTGAAGAATTCATTCAAATTTGCAGCAAATAAGTTACGTCTCCCCAGGCTTTCAGTTTTGCTCGCGCTTTCTAGGATGTCCCACGTGCACATGTTGTTTTCTCATTCATCCGTGAATGCACGGAGAGTGTTATTATCTCAGCCCTTCTACAGCTCTCTTGCTTCCAAAATCTACCCCTTAAATTGCTAGCTGCTCTGCTACTCTCCCAAACCAAATCAGCCACCTCCAGCCAGTAAACCTGTGAGGTTTTTTTGTTTGTTTTTGTTTTTGTTTTTTTGTGGTATGCGGGCCTCTCACTGTTGTGGCCTCTCCCGTTGCGGAGCACAGGTGCTGGACGGGCAGGCTCAACGGCCATGGCTCACGGGCCTAGCCGCTCCGCGGCATGTGGGATCTTCCCGGACCGGGGCACGAACCCGTGTCCCCTGCATCGGCAGGCGGACTCTCAACCACTGCACCACCAGGGAAGCCCAACCTGCGAGTTTTTAACACTAGATCTGGGGGGATGGGAATATTCTCAGGCAAGAAGCATCTTACACAAGGCAGTAGCAGTTTTTAATAAGTAAATATTTTCAAGTTCTTTGCTGTCTTTGATCATTTTTGAAATGGCTACATTTAATAATTTTTTCCACGTTCCAATATTTTTCCAAGTTCCCAATATTAAAACTTTTAGTAAAGTTTTGTACTATTATCTTTTTTTTGAAGTGAGAATCACCCAGCCAACTCAGGCAGGCATTTATTAGTGTAAGCAGAATCTTAACCATATTTAAGCACTTATGAACATGTTATCATTATCTCATTTATCATTACATGAAATCAAACGAATTGGGTCAAAAATGAGTCAACCACTGCAAGAAAAAAATTTCTCATTTGCAAACATTGTAACCTTGGTCTATTAACCCCGATAAGATCTTTAAAATATATATTACCTTTCTGGAAAAAATTTAAATACACAAAGTTTTTTAGATGAATGAGTAAATTCGATTTAGACCCACACCCCCTTGCAAAAAAAAAAAAAAAGTTACTGAGTATAGAGTATCTCTCTTGAAATGTAGAATTCATTTGAATCTTAAGAAAATTACCTTGACGGCTGCTAAACAATGAAGGCTCAGTAAGGCCATCACAACTGCCAGAAGGATGGTGGCTAAGTTCCGCGTGTCCCATATGGTCTCTACCAGAGGAATACTGCCCACCTGCCAGTCATAGCACAGGGTAACAGGTGCAAGCAGAAGCCACACGTTGAAGGCCAAGAGGTAGGAATAGGTAAGTAATCTACAAAGAGAAGAAGAGTCACTGAAACATAACTCGAGATCCATGACATTTTGCAAACATTCATTCACCATGTTTCTATTAAATAGCACTTCTATACTATCAATGTTATAGAAAAGACAAGGTAAGATGGAAAGTCATTCATTCATTTAGTCATTAAGTTGATCATTTTGGAATCTATTTAATAGCTGCTAGTCACTGTGGTAAGTGCTGGCCTTTCAATGATGAATAAGACAGAGTTTCCATGACCTATATTTAAAAATTATCATAAATAAATACATAACAACTGAGATAAATGGTATAGATGAAAGCATATGACATGAAATGCTGCCCTGTTGGGCACTATTCCCTGGGTAAGAGACATTTGACCTGTCCCTTTTTAATAGTGCCCCAAATCCTGCAGTAGATATGAAAATATTAACTATTTTATAATAGATTGATCCATTTGGAACTATTTCAAAAAAATAAAAATATCTGTGGTAAGGAGATAAAGTCTCTTACAAATATAGAGGCTAGCCTTTAAGAGGAGGGAAGTTAACAGCTGTCCTTGATAATAAGAATAGCCAGGTGGACCTAGGGAAGGAAATTTATGAATGGGGATGTTACCCCTGTTTCCCGGCTGTGTCTAGGCACTAAGGCATTCTAACTGACCCCCTTCCTTTCAGTGTAGAGGAAACTAAATTTACTTAAATTTGTTCAGTAAACACAAATTCTTTAACTTGTGTTCTAGACCCTTGAAAACTGTAGAACTTTCAGCATATAACAAACTCCATCCAAACCTCTGCACTAGGGGATGGCCAAACTCTAGTATGGCTTTTAGCAGCATAAGGCCATGTTCCTGGGATGACCCCAGCCCCTCCACTAAAATGCCTGCCTGAGAAAGATCATCATTGCCAGGAGAATTTACCTTTTTCTAGGTAATCCCTGACAAAAAGGCCCCTGACCTCCCTTTCTTAGAGCACTTACTACAAAGGACTTACAGTTGGGAATACGTATCTCTTACAACTCAGAACTGTCTTTCTCAAGGACCTGAGGGTCATTCCTTTAAAATGTGATCATCAGAGGAAGGGGCCTGTCTCCCAGACTGTGGGAGGACAGAATCCTAACTCTGATAACTGCCAGCCAGCAGACACAGCCTAAATGCACTTAGACGATCAATCCTTTGTAATTTCTTACTTCTCTGACTCTGCCGAGCCCCCTTTGCTGCCCCTCCCATTCTCTCTTTAAAATACCCAGTCAACCCTGCGCAAATCAGAATGGAGCTCAGCTCTTTCCTGAACTGTCAGTAGTTACTGAATAAAGTGTGTTCTTATTGCTTTAACTAATGTCCAGCTGTGTTTATCTTTGACACTCTACATGGGACTAAACCAGAGAAATAGATAAATCCCTTGCCCTCAAGGAATGTAAAATCCAACAGTGAAAATAAGATACACAGAATTAAAGAGGCAGAAGGAGATGAGTGCCATGAGGGTTCAGAATGTGAAAAGAAGAGCTCCCTCATCGCCAGATTCTTTTGGAGGAAACCCTGGATGCGCAAATAAGTTGAATCAGATAACTTCTAGGCTACTTTCCAATGTTAAGAGTCAATTCACCCTGAATTCCTCTCAGTAAGTAGCTCTGGTTTAGAACATCCCTCCCAGCCCTTTCCAATTTATCTCCTTCCCTTTCCTCCTCTTCCTCCAAGGTTGGCAGTGGAAAAATCATTAGCAATGATCAGGAAAGGCTCAGTGATGGGGATTATTCACTGCCTCTGCTCTCAAACCCCAACAGAGAAATGGGTCAGATATTTCAATGGTGTTTCTCAACACTCCCCTCCCTGTTGTTATTTTAAATAAAATATGAATGTACAGATAGTGCAGTATATACTGAAAGTTTGATGAAGTCCAAGCTTTGTTATTTATCAAAGATAAAAACAAAAAAGCCACCTTATCCCTTTTAGGTTTGGGCCTGTGAAACTGCCGCGTTAGAATGCCAACTCCACAGAATGATGACTGGGTCACTTAGGGCTTCTTCTTTTCCCAGAGCTTCTAAGCTCATGCTATATACTTCTTAGCTCAGTAAAGATTCTTCATGACTTGGCTTTAAATGAGAATGTTCAGCCACCAAACCTAGCAGGAGAGTCACACACAGCTATGTCACTCGGTTACATCCCAACTCTTAGGAATTACTTTAAAAAATAGTATCTCTCCTTCTTGCTATAATAGATCTAGGCAATGACCATAAATGGCTGCTGAAATCATTAGGTGAAAAGCTGATGGGGTACTTTATAATGGATGGATCAGGCTAAATCAGGTGCCTAGAACTTACTAATCAATCTTAACATCACAGAAAGGGAGACTAATTCCTGATGGATATACACAAAAAGCTGATGGGCTGCTTTTTTATTTGAAGCAGTCTTGTCAAATAAAAAAGAAAATTAAACTTGAATCTAACCAAGCACTTTATTACCAGTTTACATCAAATACAGAAAACACCAGAACATGTTAAATAATACCACAGGGAGGCAATACACTAAATCCAGAATGTTACGAATTCCACGGAAAAAATGACGGCAGTTTCTTCAACAAATACATTGCAATGGGAGGGGAAAGAAAGGGGAGAGGGCACCTATAAATTAAGAGACTTAAGAGACATATCAAACAAAGTGCAGGTTTTGTTTAGCTGCTAATTCAAACAAACTGCTATTAAAAATAACTGCTTATGAGACAGAAAAAATGAAACGCTGATTGGATATATGATAATAGAGAATCACTGTTAATTTCTAAAGCATGATAACAGTATTGTGGTTCTAAGTCTTTAAGGGTCCTTGTATTTCAGAAATACATACGAAAATATACCCATTTGAAATGAGATTATGTCTGGGATTTGCTTCAAAATGATGGATTGAAGCGACGTGGAAGAACCGGGTGGGAGTATGAATGAAACAAGATTGGCCATGAACTATGACTGGGAAAACTGGATAAAGGGTAGGTGGGGATTCTTTATGCCGTTTTCTCCACTCTTGTACATATTTAATATTTTTCATAATAAAACAATTTTTAAGTAGTGATAAAGGCAACAGAATTGCAACAGGAATGCTTTCTTAAGTCTGGCTGCAGCTTGACCATGGAATAGCTGCAAACACCATGCAGAAACTTTTAATGTTCAGTTCACATTTTGAACTTGCCCTGCAAGTTGTCTTCATTCAGTCTCTTATATTTTCTAGACTTGCAATACCATACTGACAAAAAACAAATATCAAGAATAACATTTTTTAAAAGTTACAGTCTCAACGTAGTTACTTACATATTTTTTTAAATGCTCAGTTGTGACTTTTTACACAGATTATAAGCAAAATAGGTCAAAAAAGAAAAGTAAACCACAGAACTAAAACTTCACCTTCCTATAACACTAGAAAGGTCAAAACTATTAACTTAACCCAACACTATTAACTTAACTAACCCTCCTTTATTTTTGTTGAGGTATAGGTGATTTATAATATTATATTAGTTTCAGGTGTACAACATAGTGATTTAAAATTTTTATAGATTATGCTCCATTTAAGGTTATTATAAAATATCGGCTATATTCCCTCTGCTGTACAATGTATCCTCGTAGCTTATTTATACATAGTAGTTTGTACCTCTTAATTCCTCACCCCTAAATTGCCCCACCCCCTTCCCTTTTCATAACCTTTAGTTTGTTCTGTATGTGAGTCTGTTTTGTTATACTCGTTTGTTTGTTTTATTTTTTAGATTTCACATATAAGTGATGATACACAGTATTTGTCTTTCTCTGTCTGACTTATTTCACTAAGCATAATACCCTCCAGGTCCATCTAAGTTGTCGCAAATGGCAAAATTTTGTTCTTTTTTATGAGACTGAGTAATATTCCATTGTATGTATATACCACAGAATCTTTATCCATTCACCTGTTGATGGACACTTAGGTTGCTTCCATATCTTGTATTGTAAATACTATTACTATGAACACTGGGGTGCATGTATCTTCTCAACGTAGTGTTTTTTGGGTTTTTTTGTGATATATACCCAGGAGTGGAATTGCCCTTTTTAATATATATATATTATCTCCATTAGCTCAGAAATATACACCTACCTTTTGTGCATATGAACTCAGATAAATGCTGCAAGTAAACTCCTTAAATACTATTTGAAATACTGAAACAGCATTGGAAAATTTTTGCAAATTTAAGCACAAAGAAGCCACTTGGAATCACCCCAAAAGCTAATTACATTTGAGGGGGCTAGTTGAGCTCAGCATTGATGTATTTCTTTTTAACTCATTGACTATGAATTACATTTCAAATTAGTCACCTTGCTTATTTCTGCAAAAATTTCAGAAATAAAACAATCTTTGAATATCTCTGTCCCACTGGGTTTTCTTTTTTAAAGCAGGGGCAAAAATAAAATGAATTATTTACCAATTTTCTACCATGAATTCTGCTAACAGGAGGAAAGCCACTGGAATATCTGGCAACAAAATGGAATATACAGCACAAAAAGCCAGGAATTCAGCTTAAACAACTTAGTGATGTATTTTCATTCATAATCCAGGAATGAATGAAGAGGTTTCAGCATGAAATACATGAAAGGGAAAATGAGGCCGGTGGGGAACTGGCATCAAAGGGCACCTAATCAAACTGTGGCCCTTTTTTTTTAATAACATCTTTTTTGAAGTATAATTGCTTTACAATGTTGTGTTAGTTTCTGATGTACAACAAAGTGAATCAGCTATATGTATACATATACCCCCATATCCCCTCCCTCTTGAGACTCCCTCCCACCCTCCCTACCCCACCCCTCTAGGTGGTCACAAAGCCCAGAGCTGATCTCCCTGTGCTCTGCGGCTGCTTCCCAATAGCTATCTATCTATTTGGTAGTGTATATATGTCAATGCCACTCTCTCACTTCGTCCCAGCCTCCTCTTCCCACCCTGTGTCCTCAAGTTCATTCTCTACGTATGTGTCTTTATTCCTGCCCTGCCACTAGGTCCATCAGTACCA